TATAACATTTTATATATATATATGTATTTTAAAACAAAAGGGGATCATTACAGAGCTGACAAACAAACGCTGGATGTGTCTTTTGAAATCCGAGCTGCCGAAAGAAACCTTAAATCCACTTTCGTCTGATTTTAGACATTGCGGTGTATACACTCTTGGTTTGGCACAGAGATGAAAGGGTAGGGTTTTATTGCTCTTTGCCTCGTTGTCTTCCACATAAACACTTTCTTGTTATCACATCTGAGTCTGTCTCTCTTTTTTCATCCCTGTCTCTCACATCTTGTCTCACTTGTGTCTTTTCTCATTCACTTTTTTGTATTTCGACTTAATGTTGGTTCCTTCGTTCCCGATCGTCCAAATTAAGCTGATAAAACGCAGCTGTTCTCCGTTTCAGGGATCCATAGCAGCTTACAGAATACATCAGAGCATATAGAAACAATGAGGAACGCTGCTTTTTTTAAATAAGTGTGTAAAAATTTATTTAAGTTCGGGCCAAAATTTGGCACCTTGGTGACAAAACATTTCACAGAAATGACAAAAAAAAAAACGACTGAAAAAGTGACGGACCAATATGGCCATCAAATTACAACACGTTAAAAAGAATAAATAAAGACACGCAGGAGCAACAACATACAGAAACATTAAATTATGATGAATGCACAAACACATCTGTGGTTTAAAAAACTCCCAGCAGCTACAGTGACCTGTGTCCTGACGTAAAGGAGGCGACCTGTGTCGTAAAATGCAGTAAATAGTTTCAGTCAGTGGAAATAAAATCGACACAAGGCACATAATCCCTTCTATGTAGACTCTTCTCTATGTGTGAGAAACATAATGGCGTTTTGAAATATAATAAGTAGGACTGCCTTCAGCTGTATACGGCAGTGGTTTTCATTGTTCTGTCCCAGAGGGATTTATATTAAACCCTTCCAGTAATGTCAAGTTTTTGTTGTTGTTGAAATGCTGTTTGGTGAGTCCACAGGAGCGAGTCTGACACCCACAAGATCAATGAATGTCCTTGATTTTTGTGCAGACCGGGACCAGGAGCCCCAAGTCCTCCTTCACCTGAACTTGTCTCTGACCTCCTTCATCTGTCTGATGAAGTGCAACCGAGTCGAGTAGTAGACGCTCTCTGCTCGACCGCTGCACGACGCTGTAGCCGCGGAGCGAGTTCGCCAGCCTTAACTTCGGAGGGTGGGCTGGGGCCCCCCATGCTCATGAAGCCCTTTTCCCACCAACCACCTCTGTAGTGACAAGGTGCGGCGGTCGTCTTGTCTTCTTTAGGAGGCCGCGCTCTCGCCCTCCCACGCTCTCGCCCTGTGGCGCTGTCTCACCCTCCACTTCTCCAGCAGCAGGCGGGTTTTCAAGGCGGCCTCGATCGCTGGTGGCGACCCGTGGTTCTCGTGGGTGTTCCTGCGAGACAAAGACGGGAGAGCAGTCAGAAACCACATCGATCTCAGGTTATGTAAAAAGGTCAACCTAACAGCTGTGTGGATTTGAGCTGTCAGTCAAACCATTAAGTAGGCCAGGTGTCACGCTGAATACACTTTTTAGTTTTAAGCAGACTGAAGTTTATTTATTTTATTACGTGCAGAGAAACATGATGGTACAGGAGACCCACATTGCTCTCACAAGGAGCTGCTGCAGATTACTTTAGGTACTTTTCATACAGTCTTAAAGGGTTTTATGGATTTCATAATGGTGCTCTGTCATCATGATATATAGGGGATTTCTTTCTCCACTAATCTTTAAATTCCTGCTTCTTAAACACGTGCTGTTGTTTTTTAAATGTTTATTACCTCTCAGGGCTCACTGGGGTTTTTTTTTTTATGCATGCAGAAAATTACTCACCCTGAGACATTCTTGCCCTACAAAAGACCTAACTGTTTGCGTGAGGTTATATAATTACCCCGTCCATTTATTTTGCAAATATAGACTTTCTCTCTCTCTCTCTTGGAAAGTATTCAAACTCTTGAACAGTAGGAGCGGGGTTGTTTTACCTCTTAATCCTGCCCGTGTCGGCTGCCAGCTTGTGTTTGCACTGTGCCTGAACACAACCATCGCCCTCGGCTGAGCGGATCTCGGTGTCTGGCAACGTCCCATACCTGCGAGCGAAAAAAAAAAACAAAAACCCACACGATGAGAACCGGGATCACGTTACACATTATTCACCGCGCACAGTTTCGAGACACCGAAGGAAAGAGACACAAACGTGTTCTCACTTGCGATGGAAACACAGAAAATGACTAAAGGTGACCTGTGTTTGGCTTATTCACCTTTCACGAGATGTTTTCGGAGCTGCGTGTTTTTTTTTTTTTAAAAAGGGGAAGATAAGTGCTTACCGGAGGTGTTTTTCCAGCCGGCAGAAGTTTCGGCATGTGTTGTCGTTTTCGCGGTAACACTGGCACCTGGGTCCGCTGCCGGTTGCCATGGAGTCCGCGACCGCGCGCCTCGTTCTGGGAGCGTTGCCCAGTCCGTAGGAGACCACGCGCCTGGAAGGAACAGTGACAACGTTCGAATCAAGCAACTGAAATTAACGGTCCAATTCAAATTTACTGAATTCAAACGGTCGGTTATGCGTTATGTTTGACGGTAAAAAAAAAAAAAAAAATGCGTTAAAGTTTTTAGCAAAGTAAAAACTATATTTTGTGTATGTTTTTAGCAAAGTAAAAACTAATATATATCCAAGACTGATAAGGTAGGCAAACTGCACTTTATTTTACAGTTACACTCGAGGTAAGTTAACAGAAAGCGACCATTTCTCAAAAAATGTTTGCTACTCTTCGTCAAATAGTTTGTATCTCAAAGTCTATCCAATATTTACAGTTAGTAGCCTGATTAATGTAATTACGTTACTTGTTCTAATAAAATCCCGTACTCGGCTACTGAAGAGAAGTAACCCGTCGCTACTGTTTGAAACGTACTAATGGTGACTTACTCAGGTGTGTTGACCCATATGATGTCCAGGTGGCAGAAGTAGACGCACTCCTTGTCCAGGAAGGTGGCGCAGGAGCAGCGTTTGGTCCGCACATGGCGCCCCTGGGTGGCGATGGAGGCAGTGGGAGTCGGCACCGATAGCACTGTAATTAAATCATCGTTATCAAAACACTGCATACCAGCTATTAACTGAACCTAACATTGTCAGGAAGATGCGCAACGTCGTGTTATCAGCGCAACTGCTGCAAAGAGTTTGCTCTGCAGCTTTGCAGAGATTAGATTCAAAATCATTGCATACAGTGGTTAATTAAAAAATTACGTATGTGTCTAAATAGTTAGTTAATTACTGGTTAATGCCCGGGTTAAACAGCTAAAAAACAAACCAAAGTTACCTGTGCACAAAATCCAGGAGCACATCACTGATAACACGGACATCAAAGTGTATACATCCATTTTCCAGGCTCTTCTAAAACCTCAAGAAAAGTAATAATCCTGCAGAAGTGTTTAAAAAAAAATCAAATAAAAATGTAGCATCCAGTGTATTTCACTCCTTTTTGCTCAAATGTTTCAGTGCTCGTCCTCAGGGAGTCACACAGGAGCGTCAGTCTGGAGTCTCAGTGTGTCAGTGTGGCCCCACATGTGCAACCCTTTGACTTTATAGTGCTTCCCACCTCCTCCACCTCCTCCCTCCTCCTCCCTCCTCCTCCTCCTCCTCCTGCTGCAGCTTTGTCCTTTGGCTCGTACCCAGACAATGATGTTTGTTAGGAGTCGGCCGCTGATAAGGAGCCGTGCAGGCCAAGTGGAGGACTTTGAGATGCCTTGGTGGGTCTGAGTTGAAGGATGGAGGGAGATTGAGTGCGACCTGTGACTGGACTTTGGAAGACCTGCAGGTGCACCTAAAGGACGGCAGGTGGCAGTCAAGTGACAGGATTCATCCCCCTGGTTTAATGGTGAGCACTGCATACAGAGGTACAGTATAAAGTGTAGAAAGTTTAATTATTCAAACTTGGTTTAAATGTTACTCAAGTAGAAGTGAAAGCTACTCCAGTAAAAATTAGATTAATAAAATAAATATAGGTCTTTCTAATCACAATGAGGAATTGCAGTCAGAATTCCCTTTATTTGAAACATTCAAGCTCTGTTAAGGTTGAACATTTAGTTGCAGATGAATGAATAATAAAAAAGACAATGAGGCAAAAATAAACCAGCAGAGACACTTCACAAATGAGTC